AAACAAATGCTAGATAATATTTGTTCCGAAAAATGTGATCGAATCGATTGTCGTCCTGTAACAAATGAATTCTGTTGCTCCTTATTTTTTTAGTGACTCATACAAGATATGATGATTATATATCATGTTATTACACCATCAATCTGTAATTTATCATACAAGTCATGTAAGTTTTGTTTCATTCTCTGGAATCTATGGATACCGAGAGAATAACATTCACATACATTGATTTTAATTATAAATTCAATATATTATTTTATTGATTAATATTAGATTGAATAGTAGAATACTTGAATTGATCCGATATGAAACAAACAAAGCGTCAACAAAAGGATAGCATTGATCATGATGACGACAGCAAAAGAAGAAAATTTCAAAGTAACATCAATAGGTTTGTCATATTGATAGATATATATATTTTTTAGTAAACTGATTTTTTTCGTCTTTGTTTTAGATCATCAAGCAAATCTCTCACTTGTTTTGAAGATATGTCCAATGAAGTTATCTATGAAATATTTGAATTTCTTGATTTTTTTCATAGATATGATGCTTTTTTAAATCTTAATCAACGATTTAAAAATCTTCTTATTCATTCACCTCTTTCTATTCAAATCAATTTGTCATTAATGTCTAAATCAACTTTTCAAAATTACTATAAATTTATTCTTGTTTCTGATAAATATCGAATTAAATCATTACGTTTATCGAATCCATTCGTATTTGATTCTATTTTATCATCAATAAATATTCAATTAATATTTATTCAACTTGAAACACTTATTCTCAATAATATCGATTCAAAATCTCTCGAAAATCTTCTCAATCATTTAACTTTTTTGTCTAGTCTTGTATCATTATCGATTATTTGTATAGATAACATTGATCATCCGAATGATTTCTATCTTCAAATCTTTCGTTTACCTATATTAAAATATTGTAAATTATCATTTAGTAAAAACTACAAATTGAAATCAATACCAATGGCAACTAATCAATACAGTTCTATTGAACATCTTATTATCGAATGTATTATTCAAATCAATATTCTTTATTGTTTTTTATCTTATGTTCCTCAACTTCGTCGTTTATCGTGTCAATCTCTTGTTGGATATGATGATGTACCAACAGATATAAAAATTTCCCTGAATAATGTAACACATGTGTCTCTTGATCTCTATCATATGAGTTTTGATAATTTAGAATTCTTGATCAAACAATTTTGTCATAAAATTCAAGTTTTACATATTTCTGGCTATGTCAGCCAAGAACATTTAGATACCCAACGATGGAAACAATTAATATTAAATTATCTTCCATATTTGCGTATTTTCGATATACAATCTGTATATTTAGCAATTTCTATCAATAATCAACAGACATACGAATATTTATTCAATCAATTCAATTCTCAATTTTGGTTCGAACGACAATGGTACTTCGATTATCGACGAGCTTTGATTCGTGGTAATCGAACTGGAATTTTCTATTCAATAAATCCATACAGGTAATAGAAAGAGTTTAGTGATCTGTGGCTTTCATCATTCAAAAGGGCAATGTAAGGAACATAGAATTTCAGAGATATACCATTAGTCAACAATTGAACAATTGTTCTTAGTTTAGAGCAAATCTGAAAATCATTCTATCAATAACTTTTTTTTTACTTGCCAATACTCTGTTGCTATATGATTGTTACATCAGTGATAACGTAAAACTCAGGGTCTTTCACTCATATGAGTCTCAGTCAAACAGCTGAAATCGGACTCTTGAAAATATACTTATCGATCTTCAACAGAACGAACTAGCGAGCAGAGTTTTTTCTCTCAGATGAGTTTATTTTAATTTGAACTTACGTTTTGACAAGTCGCTCACTAAATGTTTATGAAATACATTTTTAATTGTTCAATAGCTGACTCGTGATGTTTCTGTGAGATTCTATACCTCAGACATTGCTCGTTCATTAGCATTAACAATAGTTTACTTTTGTTTAAAGGGGAAAAGATTATAGATTAGTTGGCAATATAAATGAAAATACTCGGTTAATTCATCAAGAAACAAATCTAAATTCAGTTCTTCATGTTTATATTTATGGTGAACAGACAATAAATGATTGTATCAATTATTTTCCAAATGCTACTCATGTGACATTCTATGATAATTTCTGTTTAAGAACACGATCATTTTCATCAACTCTTAATCATATTATCTCTTTGCAACAACTTACAAATATAGATATTGATACCAATCGTTTTTCTTTTCAAAAATTTTGTGAATTGTTACAATTTGCACCAAATGTCAATACATTAATGATTAAATCTGAAATTCTTAAAGGAGCCTATTCTGAATCAATGCGACAAAGTGAAATATTTCGATTAGCATCCAATATTAATATAATTAAACATATGACTATTAAAGATAAATGTACATTGAAAAAGATTGAAATTCTTCTCAGTTTATGTCCTCGACTACAGTCTCTAACAAGCGATGTAAATTGGCATGATTTTGAATCGATCATTCGATATTTATTGTCAAAAACTAATGAAAATGTACGTCATTTATATTTATTCTGTGTTTCAAATGCATGTCCAGAATTGTTTGAGCGATTGAAGAGTTTAATCAAATCAGAAAAATTGATTGATGATTATTCGACTAAATATATTAATTCTAAATTATATTTATGGTTCTAATATTTAATTCATCATCAAATATATATACGATTTATATTGTTACATCAAAAATATTTCTTTTAATCATGAATTTCAAGAACATGATTTAATATCGAAGCTGATTGTACATCTTAAGAGAAAATCATTCGAATTTTAGTTGTCTTAAATGAAATATATCGATTTGCCTTGTTGATTAATTTCACTGATATTTGTGAAATAGAAATTGGTTAATTGATTTTCTCACTAAAAATTTCTTAATTAGTGTTTCTAAAGTTTGAATCACAAACTATAAACCGTCAAAATGAACAATCTAATGCTCAATCTTATTCTATTAGTTTATACTTGCCAATATTTTCTGTTTTTTTTTAAAATTCAAGAGTACTTAATTATCTCGTGAACTGCACATCATTCAATAGTACATTCTGTGACCCGTTCGAAACTTCTCCAATTGTTCCAAACTTATCCTCAAATTACAACTTCTAGAAGAACTAAGCGACAATACATTTTCTAGCATCCTATGTAATTTATGATACGTTGCTATGTAATATTGACTGATTGATTTTGAATAGCAAGACGAATTAAAATACATTGATGCATTTCAAAAAGCAAAACATCATATGAGATCAATAATTTAGCTGATTCAACTAAAATATTCGTCTTTCGATGATTTGGACAAGAAAATGACAATAGCTGTCCATTCTCTCGTCAATGTTTCAAATAGATGGTTCAAGTTAATAAATATTGACGTCTGTTTTCTTGCCTGAAAAATACAATGAACAAGATTACTCAATTCGAAGATTTGTCCAATGATTTATTCATGGATATTTTTGATTATTTACATGCTTTTAGATCTTTTCATAGCATTTTTTTCACTCAATAAACGTATTTCATTGATTCTTTCATCAATTTTAGTTCATGTGGTCGTTTCAAAACTTCATTATCGCTATTAAATTAAATTACTCTCTTTTTATCTTACTAATCATGCTCATCAAGTCATTCCTTGCTTGTTCAACAAACATAGATTTGTTAATCTTCGATCATATATATTTTCTTCTATTTGTTCGTCATCAAAATTTAATCATATCATTCAACAACTCAGAACTTTGACTAAACTTGAATCGTTTCGAATAGAACAATCATATGACATATCATTATCTAATCGAGTCAAACAAAAATTAAGCAAAACTATTTTAAAACATAGATTATCTAACATTCGCTCAGTTCAACTATTATTTCGTTATGATTATTCGTATATGACTACTAATACTACTATTAACTTTACATTGACATCACTTCGTATTCTGTTTTATGGCTCATCTACCAATTGCTCGATTTATTGTATTGTGCCCATTCTCTATACTTATCGTGCATTATGACAATTACATATATAGCCATTTCCAGTGACAATGAATCAAGTACATATCATCCAATGTATGTTATTATATTAGAATGAAGATAAATAGAATGAGTTATCAATAGAATTGACATAAGCAAACTGATGAGAGATATCTCAAAGAAATAATGAAAGTATTTTTTTTTTCGATATGCTTGTATAATTTAGTTTTATTGATTTTATTTTTAGTATAACCGTTTGTCTGTAATTGTCATTTGTACTGAGCAAGATACAAAGGACTTTCTGATTGGCAATGTATATATTCTGTATTTTTGAATTAATTTCATTGCCGAGTTATATTAGTGATTTACTTCATTCTAAAATCTGTTTATCAATATAGTTCTATATCAAACATTCTGTTAAATAAATTTCTGTATAGATAATTACCTTATTAGATCTTTGTTTATCTCATATCGAATATATTAATGTTCTTTACTTGTTTAGTGCACCAATTATTTCCATTTACTATTGAAGACAATCTATCAATATCACCCTATATCACATTATTCAATTTGGATATTGACACAGAATGCAATTTTGATTCATTAAATCTAATTCTTCGTTGTATGCCTAATCTTCGTCAATTTATTATTACAATGATGAATTCATCATTGATATCGCTCTCCTGGAATCATTTGTTAAATGGTCAAAATTGGCAACAATTGTTAACAAATCATGTATCGCATTTAGATGTATTTAATCTTTTTCTGACTGTAATTATTGATCCACATTCTTTACTACTAGATATGGACAATATAGTCCATTAATTTGATTATTTTTCTACAAAATATGATGATTGGTATGTTGCAATTAGTCAATCAAAATATAGTGTCCATCATCGATGTAAGATAATCATATAAATTTGTTTTTTTAGTTTATGTTCATATTGTTTAGTACATATAGTTCATTTACATACGTTAAGATTTTCAATAAAACTACTATATATGTATAGTGAGAGTCAACAAATAATTCTTGGTACATTCAATATGCATACAACAGCAATAAACGATGCACAACAGCGTCTCATTTATTATAATGTTACTGATTTAGAAATTGATATACCATTAAATACAAAATATTCAAACAGTCTATCTCCTTTTACATCATATCAAAATATTGATTCTCTCTCAATTCTAATGAAACGTTTGAGAACCAGTTTATGGAATACTGTGATTAAACTAAGTAAATAGAAATAATTAGTAATCAACAATTTGATATTATTTAATAATTCTTTTTCTGTACTTGTTTAGTTGGTATCTATTATAATGATGATAAGAAAGAACAAACTGAACGTTTTAACCAAATTGCATGTCTTATTAACCTAGAACAAGTAAATAAATTAGAATTCGATCCAACGATGGATCTATCCCAATTACATTTCATTGAACAAGTTTTATTGTAGATAAGTTTAATGAAATTATACTAAATAGATATTTTTTTAATAGGGTAAGTTCAAATGTGGTTCAACTAACGATTTCTACATCATTGTTTTTTATTTCCATCAATATTTGATAATTCATCACCTGCTCGTCCTTGCCGCCGATTACAGTCACTTTATTTAATAACTGAACATGTGTATTTTTCCTGGAAAAATGCGTTAAAATTAGTTCAACGATGTCCATCACTCATTCATATCGAATTATGAGTTTTTTCACTAGATACGTACATGTTTAGCACTTGTTGATATTCTTCTGGGTGATTTAGCTGATTTAATTCATTTAAAAATATATTTTAATAAATATACATTACTTCATAATCCATGTCCGATAGATTATATTAGAGAAAAACGTTGTCGAGCATTTCCATTCCACATCTGCAATAAAGATGAAAATTTCGTCGAAGTTAATGAAGAATTCTTAGAAATCTATTTGAGTGACTGTTTAATATGTACAAATAAGATATGTTATATTTGAATAAATAGTTGAACAGAAAATTTTGTTTTGTTTTTATTTGTTAAACATGGATATAATACAATACAAAAAAAAACAAAATATGATTTAATTTCTAGTTTGATCATCATTCTCTGATTCATATATGACTTTGAGATTGAAAGAAATAATTTCAACACTTTCAAAAAGTATTGAAACGAATGACTCATCTATGTAATATACAACGAAAGTATAAATATGGTTGATCTTGTCTATGGATTTGAAATAATATGTAAATTTAACTTTTTGAATTTTTATTTTTAAACGATTGACATCATGTTTTTCTTCGTCAATGACTTATCGAGATCAAATACTTATCATATTAGTCTATCTTATTCACATTGCAAATGTCGTTGTCATATTCTTGGATCGGATAAACAAACGTCTGTTAATAAAATATTTGATAATATAGAAGTGTTCGTCTATTCATATTTTGTAAAAGAGAAATAATGTATCAAAACATAACATTAGGCGAGTCTCAAAGAAAGCTGAAAAAAAAACAGCCTCAATTAGTTTTAGTAAAGAATAACAATTCAAATTTTTATTATTAATATCTTGTGACAAAACATACCATTGGTTCGTCCCAATGTACATATATAGATTAAGAATATTCTCCTACTACTTAGTTAATTGTTACGAGCAATAGGTGTGGATGTAGGTGTACTCGTGGTTGTCATTATAAGTGAGAAAAGCCTTTTTGTCACACCTACACCTCACCAGAGTATTTCGTTTTGCTGCAGGTGCACTCATAAATCTGGAGCAGAAACAGATCGAAGCGATTCAATAATTGTCGGCTCTGATTTTAGCTGCGAATAGTTTTTAGTTAGTCTGCGATGAAAATGCATGTTATATACTCGATCCACGTATTCAATACAAAAATTTTTTGATTGGCTATTAAATCACTTTCATTTCAATCAGTTCGATAAATTTTCACTGATCTTGCCAAGCAAAATGATATTGTGGGTATCATCGCTCTTTTGGATTTTCTTGCCATCGGACCTCAACCTAATTTGATTTGACCTTTTTTTGTCGCACATGATATATCATACTGAGTTTCATGAATATCGGCTGATTATGAGGTTATCAGAAAAGAATATGATTTCAAAAATCCTGATGTTTGTTTTTAGTACTCATGATTTTTTCAGGCTTTGGCTAAAGAATGAACTTTTTTGGTATCAAAGATACATGCATTGTAATAAGCGTATTCAATAAAGACAAACACTGAGCATAGACGCCGTCAGCCACCTTAGAATTCGTTTATTTTTATAAATTTTTGTTCATTGTGGAAATCAGATATATTCTTGAAACTTCTGAATGACAAAAAGTGCTGCCACTGTAATTGCAAACAAATTAAGTCTTGAATCGAACTTTAGATCACTATCAAAATCAAGCAAATCCAAGTTCCAACTATTTTTTGAAGTTTTCCGATCGGAACTGATCATATTTCATTCGCCTAGGACTAAAAATATATGATGATAATTTCGAGATTTTAGGTCTAGATGATCTTGCCTCATGTAACAAATATCTAAACATGAAGAAAAATTCTTTTAGAACTTTTGCTTTAAAAAGCTCTATCTTTTACATTCAAAAGCTGTCGATCTTTTTTTTTTGTTACACTTCCAAAATATAAATATGTTTCACTAAATTGAAATTTTATTATTTATTTAGATTATTAGAACTTATATGAGCTGTATTAATCTATGAACTTCTTTGTGAAGTTGAAAATATAATATCACCAGTAAGTAAAACTTAATTTCATATTGCTAATTCAAAAAAAAAAAAAAAAAAAAAAATAAATATTGAAAAAAATTTAGAAATCAATGTCATCTTATGCACGATTATCAAAAGCTCTTGATGGTCTTGTCGAATATTTTAATAATGAAGAACACTATTTACCAAAAGATATTCTCAAAACTGATAAATACAAAGTAAAAAACACAAATCGATTTAAGATTCTAATATTTTGTTTTTTTTTTTTTTTACATTTTAGTTAGTAAAAAAATTATTAAAATATCAATCTACCGATACACAATCGTTAATAAAAATGTATTATCAAGTAAATAAATAAATAAATATTTACATCAAATAATAAATTAATCTATTTCTAGGAAAAAGTTCACGAACAAGATCGTGCTAATAGTTCAAGTCAAGTTGATTTAGGAAAACTTTTTTCTTGAGCTTATTATCATTTAAAAGAAGAAACATTATATATTGAAAGTATGTCTTGTTTTTTTTTTGCTCAAACATAAACTAATAGTAATGCTGAAGTATACGGATAAAAATTTCGATTCCTCACAGTCCGTAAAAGACATTGATATATAATTACAAATCGTATATCAATTAAGAAGCTACGAGTCCGGATGCGAAGTTCAGGTTATTGTCGGACTTGAGTCTACAAAAACGTGGATACACAGCTTCTTAATACGAATAATGTCTCGTTTATAATATACGAAACACTTTCTTATTGCATTTTGTGAAGAATGAAATAAAACGATCATGAAGAAATATGGATTTCGCATTTTAATCCCAGAGAGATTGTACTAACAGCTTTTTTTTTCTTCCATTTAAATATTTCTTATTTATTTTGTTTTAAGTTATTTCATGTAAAAATCTAAGACCATGTGATTCAAATGGTTTAAGGTAAATTAAAATTAAAAGCATAAGAAAACAAAACCTAGTTTTTTTATTTTAGTGATCCATATGTTGAAGTACAATTATGTCCAAGATTTTTATATCCTCATATTGAAAAACAACAAACATCAGTTATAAAAAAAAAAACTCTTAATCCACAATTTAATGAAAAATTTGAATTGTAAGTAAATAAAAATCATATCGTTATATGAATTCCTTATTGTTTTTTTTTAATTTTGTAGTCGATTAACAGAAAAAGAATGTAATTTATCAGGTGAAATCGTACATTTTATAGTAATGGATCATGATTTAATGTGGTCAAATGATTTTGAAGGTGAAGCATTTCTCGAAATATGGAAAATAACTGGAATTAATAATGACAATCGAGCTATAGATGAATTAAAACAAATTGAATTAGCATTAACGCATCCGAAAGGTTAGACAAAAAAGCAAAATTATTTTAATTTATAAAATTTACAATAAAAAAAAACAAATCATTTTAGTTGTACGAAGTTGTATTATTAAAATATTGGAACAACGAATAACCGATAAAATAGCGATTGACTTTGTTAGAAGACGACGTGAAAAAGAAAATCAATGAATATTTTTTTTCCTTCACGAAATATATTTTACTTCTTTTCTTTTTTTTTTTTTTTTTCTTCTGTGTATTCTTATTTATTCTATTTGTAAGTTTGAGCAACATTGAAAAATTATTCATATTTAATCCCAAATGATTAAAAAAAAAATATTCATTATTTTATAATACAAGTTAGTCATGTAAATGATTTGTATGGAAAATAATATAAATAAGAATATTTGTTAATTAAAAAAAAGAAAATTTAATAACATTTACATGTTTGCTTCTTTGTTGAAATATTAAATTATCAATTAAATGTTTATGCGTTACAGTTTATCATGTATTTTAATTCGAATAACAGAATGATTAAACGTTAATTCTTCTTATTTTTTTTTTGTTTATTTATTATTTTTCGAAAATTATCAATTCGCTAAATATACATAAAACGTCAATTAAATAACATATACACGAATAGAAATTTTCTTTTTTTCTCTCGTACTTTCATTATGTTGTGGCTTTCGATCATTGTTTATAGAAATATGTTATTTAGTTCATTATCATATAATTGTATCTATGTATAAAAATAATATAATTATTCTTGTATTTATCTTTCAATTTTATTAGATATTCGACTATCTCATTACTAAGATTAACTTGTATCATTTTATTGATGGATTGAATTATTGTCATAAATGTTAAATTATTCTTTCTAAAATAAATGTTACAATAATGTAATCTTAGTGAATGTAGTGCATTCAAGATTGCTACCAGTATGTCACAGAAACTTTTTTGAATACTAAAGTAGTTTAGAGCTTTTTATCACTTAGTTATTTTTCATACAATAATATAGAAAATGAACAAGTCTTGAAGTTAAGATCAGATCGAACTGGATATGTACTACTTCCACATAGACAAGAGTGGATGATAGAGATCAAAATTGGATTCTCCAGCTCATTAGAGATGTCATATTAGAGTTGATACTCGTATGAATTAAGGCATGAATGGATTAAAATTAAATTTTTAATATTAGTAGATAAGTATCACTACGGTTTTTTTTGGGAGGCTATTATTAATCTCACATCATTATTACAGTAAAGAAAAATGGTGGAATGAATGAAGGGAGAGAATAGTAAAAGAACTTTGTTATCTTGAAGTAATGCATCATTATAAACACAATTAATGCAACTCTGATGAAGTGGAGATATACAATATTACCCGGAGATTAAATTAAGCATGTAAAACAAGCAATAAAAGCTTTTTTCTATCTTTGCCGATAACATGACACTTTTTTTTTTTTCTAAATCCATGATAGTTCAATTAGTCATTTTTCATTTAAGACTTGAGTATATTTTTGAAAAATTGGTTCAAATTCAGTTCGATTGTTTGTTATTTTGAAAAAGAAAATTAGTTCGATTTCGATTCAGTTCGTTTTCAGCCTTTATTTCCGAGCGAGCTTGGCGAATTATCATTTGTTTTTCCATAGGAAGAAACATCTTATTCAGATTTAAAGAAATTCGTTAGAGTTGTGATATTACATGTTCATAAAAAATTATATCGCCTGAGTTTTCCATGGCACTAATCTCTTTCTTGTATCAACGAGATAGAATTTCTTTACACTTGCATGGGTGTTACTTATAAAAACTTATTTTCAAGGCTATTTGTATATAATTACAGATAGGATGATTTGCAGATAATGAATGCTACTCAATATAGATGTGGCACGTTAACTTTAAACGTAAAGTTAAAGTAGCAAATTTTGAAATTTTATCTTTAAAAAAAATAAAAGTTGAAGTATATATGTTAATGATATCCATTGACAATAATTCCTAAATCTCTAGTTTAGTCTTATGCTAAAAATATTATTTGTATGAAAAATACAGAATGAAATCAAATTAAATAAATACGAACTACAGTGCTCATATGCTGTAATCTATTTGATTTATAACTATTGAGAAAGGAAAACTATTGTTATTGAGTAATCGATAACGAAAAATTTATGAATTTGATCTTTCCATAGTGGATAACCTATTTTCTGAAATTTTATAAAGTTTGATCAAAGACTTTCAATATGGAGAGGTCTGAATCTATTGTTAGTTTTCCGACATCGAGTTTAACTTTTTCGGCAACATGTCTGTAAAGGCGGACTACTCGACTTCAAACACTTTTGATCAAACTCATAAAGTTTTCGTCAGCGGCTATTCCGTAGCGATAACTTTCCTTTCTTGAGAACTATAAATCAAGTTCTTTCGTAAGTTAATATATGAATGAAAAATATAAATTATTATTTTTATTCTAAATTTTTCTTTATAGAATCTTTTCTCGAGTTAGAAATGTTCATATTCAATTAACATTGATACTAACAACAATTATCTTTTTTTTATCGGCAAAATCTTTAATATATTTTTATTAATTATTTTAGAAGATAACAACAAAAACAAAACAATGAAAAAAAAAAACATCAAGCAAGTGCTGATGTTCCTTTAATAGTCAAAATAGCAGCTGATGATTTTCCTTTTTTACGTTTTTTTTGCTTCATTTGATGTTAATTTTTGTGTTGCATCAGTAAAAAGAATAACATCATTTTGTTCTTCAATTTGACGTCGAATTAATTTTAAAAAACCAGCAAGATTAAATCCAACATTATTCTTAACAAAAACGAAAAAAAAAAAGAATCATTTTTAAAAATTTTTATTTCTTCGTAAAAACTTACTCGTAATTTTTCTACTGTATCCATACAACGTGTTCGTAATTGTTCAACAATATTTAAATATTGATGAGATGATGTTAATACACCATGATGAATTCTATATTAAGAAAAAATAATAATAAATTTTTTTTTTAAATTTGAATTTACTTGATTAAAAATATAGCACATTTAACACATAATTCTGGTGATTAAAATCGATCGAGATAATAAATAAGAAGTGATAACAATTTTTGAACATAATCAAATGGTAGAAGAAGAAGTGTTGCTTCCAAATCACTAAAAAAATTTCACTCAAAATATAAAATAAAATTAGAAAGAACAAAAAAACAGATTTCATACCTTGCTGAAATTTTTCTTAATGATTCAAGTACAAAAACGTTCAGCTGTATAACCACTTCCTAATGCTTGTAACATAATATGATGTGTTGGTGAAGGCATCTTAATTAGCAAAAGAAAAAAAATTATTTTATCTTATAAATTAAAATAACTTATTTTACTTCTTTTCCTAATGCTTTTTGTGTTGCTTCATGTTGAGCAAGTTTTTATTTTTTTTCACGCCAAATATCAAGTGCTTCAATAATACTTTCTGCCTAAGAAAAAGAAATCGAATAAATAAAGACAAAATCAAAAAGAATAATTTGAATAAAACGTACACCTTTAAGACTTTCAATTGTTTTTAAAGTAGCTAAACCAACTTCTTTATTTGTTTCACCAGGTAATATAAATTCATCATTTTCCATTTCATTTTCAAATTGAGCTTTACGTTTCTAAGCAAAAAAAACATACAATTGATTAATTATTTGCCGAAATGAAACATATGTATTTATACACTTTGAGTTTTTAAATAGTTTATAACTTACCAATGCGTTACAGAGTTCATCCATAAAAGTCTCAAATATTTTTCCAAACATTCGTAATCTTTATTCATTTCTTAGTAGTCGCTATCTGTAGTTCTAATAATAAAACTTAGCTTTATACAGAATTTTTCGTAAGTAATAAGTATGTGAAATATGTCAACAAAATTCAGGAAATCTTTGCCTTATTGTTGTACGATCAGTTTTTTACAAGGCTTAAAAGTAATGAAGATATAATTGTTTTATTTAATTTTGAATCATACTCGAAACAACGCTACAATTGTTCTAAGATTCATCGATATTTTAAATGTAATGCTGAAGTATTTTAATTAAATCTGCTATAAAAAGCATTAGTCATCGATCTTTGACATCTGACTATTAATGAAGAAAATTCAATTATTTATGTATGACGTATCTCCTATAGTGCCATCTAGCAGTTTCATTTCGATATAGACAATGTTTATGAAATGATTGGCGAATTGAATGATTATATTGTCATTCTTGTCTTTTCGTCGTCGTCGTCGTCGTCTCTCTCGATCTTTGTTACTCTTCTATTATATAATCTTGTATTCACATACGTTATCACAACATTTTCTAATTTGTGATATTATTAATTCAATGTGCAAGAAACAACAGAAGGATAAAATGTTGAAAGAAAAAATGATAAAAGTAGGGCTTTTTAAGTGTGTTTCTCTTGTACTCGACGATTGTTTAAAGCTAAAACCATAGATACATGTGAGCCATAGTTCACATTCTTCTATCACATTCTAATCCATCGGTTCAAATTATCATAATTATAGCATCTCTAAGTCTAGTCATCTGTCGCTTAACATTAATTAAATTCTTTTAGATTATAAGTCATTTTATGAATCCTCTACAACCAATTAATATTGGTCATGTACAAATAGGTGCAGTTCTATAATGCACGGTTTTTTTTTCTCTGCATGAAAATACTAACATACATTTTTTTTTTTTGTACTTCTCGATTAATATTACATCTATCTTTTGTTTTCTGTTGTTTAGAATGTACCAATTCTACATGCATCCCCATTTCAAGTTCAACTATTGCAACTACTGAATAAACAGCAGCAGCAATTGCAACAACTGAGTCAACAGCAGCAACAACTGCCACAACAATTGCAGCAGCAATTGCAACAACAACTGCAGCAGCCATTACAACAATTGCAGCAGCCATTGCAACAATTGCAACTACAAGTGCAACAACTCCAACAACAATTACAGCTGCAACAACAACAACAACAACAACAAGGTAACCTTCAGTAGTTCTTTTAACACTTCAGATTATGTGTTTTCATTTATATATATATATATATTTTTTTTTTTTTTATTTCTAGTTAATGGTGGTCAAGTAGCTGTTCTCGGTCATGGTGGTACTCAAGCTGCTGGTGTCGTTCGTCGTGGTCGTGGTCGTGGTCAAGTTGCTGTTGTGGTTCGTCGTGGTC